CTTTCACACAGATCAGCTTGTTTACTCTCTCCACAGAGCCGGCCACAGATGCGATGAGCTTCTCTTCCCCCATGTATGTGCCATGGCCCCTGCAGCAAGACAAGGGCGTGGCGCACTGAGTCCAGAGTGACGCGGGAGGGCCCGCAGTCAGTCGGATGCCGCGCTCCTCAGCTCCGCCGGGAGCGGCCTCCGGCCTCATGCGGTCTGCCCGCTCGCGCGGTCCCCAGCAGCACCGAGCCCCCCTTCCTCGGCCTCCACTCCCACCACACTCCCCCCACACTGCAATTCTCACCAAGTGTCCTGAGTGACATGTGGGATTTACTATTCACCTGTTTACCCGTAGAAAGAACACAAATTCTACCACTTTGTTCACTACTATACTTCAACCATACAGAACATGAATATATGCTGAAAGAATGAATCAATGAGGAGTGTGTGTGTGTGTGTGTGTGTGTGTGTGTTGCTAGGGATTGAATCTAGGACCTTAGTAGTGAGCTACACCCCAGCCCTTTTTATTTTCACCCGGGGTCTTGCTAAGTCAGCTGCTGAATTGCCCAGGCTGAGCTTGAACTCGGGCTCCTCCTGCCTCAGCCTCCTAGAGAGCCTGGATTATAAGTAGGCACCACCATGCCCAGCTGAAAAACGAATCCTGAGTTTTCATAGCATTCAATAACCTTAAATTGGGCCAGGGAGATGGCTCGGTAGAATAAGCACTTGCCTGGCAAGCACAGGGGAGCCAGTTCAAGCCCCGGTTCTGAAAAAAAAAAAAAAAAAAAAAACCTTAAACTAAAAGGTGCATTATCAATGAAATTATGGAAAAATAAAATTAAAAAATAATAAACTAAAAGGTGCAAGGGCACTGCCATAAAGGCTTATTCTTCCCTCTGTGCTCGTGAGGAGGCACTGCACTACTGCCAGTGAGGCTTGCGATGGGTCTCGCTTTTCTTCCATCATTTATGTAATCCTTCCTACCCTGCCAGACTTACAGACGGAGCGCTGCCTGTGGGGAGACTGGGCCGGCTGGCCCCACCCTGCCCCCTTCACTCTAACGCACCCTGCTGCTCTTCTACCCTTAGACACAAAATCTTACAGGGGAGGTGCCTGCAGCACGGTGTACGTTTGCCCTAAATCCAAACAATTACTGACCCTAAAACCGAGCTTCCGACAAGGAGGCAGGAGGCAAAAACATGGGTGTCTCTGTCCTCTCTGGCGGCGGAAAACCGTACAGAGGCCAGGACCCCCAACTCTCCCCAATGTCCCCAGGCCCGGAGATCCGGACTTCGTGAGCCACGAGGGGTGGCCACACCAGTAATTCTACCACTCCGAAGTCTGGGGCAAGAGGATGGCTCCGAGTTCGAATGCAGCCAGAACTATTGTGTGAGTTCAGGGCAACCTGGAATACCACGGTGAGCCACTCCCGTCCCCCACACTCTCTTCCCCCCAAAAATTAGTCCTTGCGGACAGGATCCATAACACGGCCGGCAGAAAACCAGGAGGGTTCAGGGCCAAGACGAACAAGCAAGACACAGGGAAAACCGGGGACACGGCGAGGGGATGCTCAGCAGATGCGCCGGGCCCCGCGAGGACCCCAAAACTCAAGGGGGCCAGCAGGCCCCGCTCCCGGCGACCTCGGGCCCCAACTCCCCACGTACCGCATGAAGCCCGTGTCCGTGGTGATCGTGTCCCCCGGCACCACCAGGTGTTTCTTAGTGTCGCGGGCCAGGACCTCGCTGAGCGGCTTGCGAGCCGCGGGAAGCCGCATCTCCATCGCCATCTTGCCGCCGATCGTTTGCGCAGGCGCCGCTCGCCCGCCGCGCCCCGGACGCCGGAGGGAGGCAGGGCTTCGGAGCAGCCACCAATGGGAGCCCACGAGGCCACCACCGCGCCGACTGCGGGCGGTCCTGACGTGTGCCCAAAGGGAAAGGCGGAGCCTAGTCGCCGTGCGTACTGGGGGCAAAGGAGCACGTGTGGAATCATAGAATCTGTATTATTGCGGAATAAGAGAAACTGCCCGGTACGGAAACTAGGATCTGATTGTTTTGTGCGGGACCGCTCAGGAGCGTAGAGGTGGGAAATCTTCATAAAATACTTCCTGAACCAACAGAAGGGAGACAGACCCCTTCGCGTGCCACGCCCAGTGGCGGCCCCAGGTCCTGCATTTCAGCCGTCGTCTCCGCCCCGCAGCGCTCCCGAGGCCTCCTCTTCCTCCGCGTGGTTTACGTGGTTCGCCTGCCTGGATTTCAGTGTCAGGGAACTGGCGTGGCAGGCTCTTCCCCACCCCCACCCCCGGGACTGTAAAGAGGAGGACGTAAAGTGACTTCCTCGGCCACCCCTGCTGCGGCCGTGTCCTCGGTAGACCGAGGGAGCTCCTGAAGCCCCCTCAGGGATTGTTTCATAGATCTCCAACACGACAGCCTTCCCTTCACCTAAGCAAGGCTCACATCTGTGCTGGCAGGAAAGCCAACCCCGACGGGCAATCAGTCGGTGACAAACGCTAGCGCCCAAAGGGTCCCGACTAAGCTGGCAGCGGGACCTCGCCTCCTCCGGGTCTGGAGCCGAAAAAGTCCGGGGATCGCCCAGCTGCTGCGTCGGGCTGCGGCCACAAGAGGGCGACGGTGGCCTTTGATCCAGCGTGGCCTCGGCGCGCAGCTGAGCGGCCAGACCGGAGGAGAGTCCTAAACCCGCGCGGGGGTGGGGGTGGGACTTAATAACGCTGAGACGGTCACACAGGGGGAAGTCGAAGCCCCCAAAGACCGGCACTCGCATCAGCAGTCTCCTCAGCCTTTTTTAGTTCTTTATACATTCTACCTATTAGTCTTTCTCCTGAGGAACATCTGCAAAAAAATTTTCCCGCTATGTGAGTTGTCTCTTCACCTTGTTTTTTTGTTTTTTTTTTAGACTTATTCCAAGCTGTATTTATTTTGTCATGCTTTTCTGTGCTTAAACATTTTTCAGCCAACTCTTATGCACATACTTAAGATATCAAATTCTGAAGAAAAACTACCCAGGAAAAACATTCATGCACAATAACATCTTTCTTATTCTCTGAACAACTCAGTTTACTTCTAACAAGAACATCAGAAAATTTCTTGTCAAAGAAGCATGACCTTTAAAAGGAAAGACCTGACAACCAGATAAACTACACACCATTTGCAGAGGGATTCGGTCTCTTCACCTTGTTGATGGTCCCTCTTGCTGCACAAAAGCTTCTTGATGAGATCCCAGTTGCTCTTTGTGCTATTTCCTGTGCAGTTGGGGTTTGTTCATAGTCTTCACCTGCGCCAATGTCTCCACCTGCGCCAATGTCTCCACCTGCGCCAATGTCTCCACCTGC